GAGTGGGCTTTTTTTGCCTTCCCAATTTCTTATTATAATTTCTCTTGATGCGGTGTACTGGCGGTGTGGGTAGGATCTAAGAAAAAAACCCATTTCAGCCATGCAGAAGATCTGGGAGCCACTACTAGATTTTAATTTTCAATATTTGGAATGGAAGGTTGCCCACTTCGTTCTCAGTTCAGCTAGTCAACCCCCCTCATTTTTTTATTTTGGAGAGAGAAGAGGAGAGAGGGAGAGAGAGAGAAATATTTGGAAGAAGGAGAGAGAAAAATCATCTACAAAGTTTGTCAGCTAAACTTTTTAAAGGTTGCAAAAAGTTTTGGACACAAAACCTACGTTTCCAAGTCACTAACAGTTTTCCTCCAGGTTTCAAAGCCTGAAGTTTGCAACGATGACCTGAAAAATGTACATTTTTCCCACTTCCTTTGCAGTAACAACAACCTTTTGAGGTAGTCTGAGCTGAAAAAGGGAGACTGGGTTGGGACAAAGTCCAATCCAGGAAGTTTCTATGGTGGAGGAGGATTAGAATCTAGATCTCCATTCTTTCTCCTCCTCCTCCTCCTCCTCCTCCTCCTCCTCTGCTCTTGGAGTCAGTTCTGTTTCCATGGACTTCTTGGTAAAATTTGTATGTTGGTAGAATGCCTCGGGATCCAGATGAATTATCAGAGGGATTTGTGTGTGTGTTGAAGGGGAGAGTCTGTTGACCACTTAGGATACAGTTTTGCTGTCTTCTAGGATGGGCCAAGTGGCAGAATAAACCAGTCCTGAGTCATTTCTTACAAAGTTCTAGTATGAGACCACCAACATCTCAGGAGGTGTCATGAGATCTCCCATGAGATTTACACAAGTCTACTCCGCAGGGACATGGTGGCTCAGTGGCTAAGACGCTGAGCACGTCGATCAGAAAGTTCAGCAGTTTGGCAGTTCGAATCCCTAGCACCACATAACGGAGTGAGCTCCCGTGACTTGTCCCAGCTTCTGCCAACCTAGCAGTTTGAAAGCACATAAAAATGCAAGTAGAAAAATAGGAAACACCTTTGGTGGGAAGATAACAGCGTTCCATTTGCCTTTGAAGTTGAGTCTTAGCGGCCACATGACCACAGAGACGTCTTCGGACAGCACTGGCTCTTCAACTTTGAAACGGAGATGTGCAGCACCCCCTAGAGTCGGGAACAACTAGCACATATGTGCGAGGGGAACCCTTAATTTTATCTTACTCTGCAGCTTCCTTGTTTTAAGGACCTGGTCTCCGATTGACAGCTGCATGGATAATAACAAAAACCTTGTTCCTGAGCAGACCCTGAGTGTTTTATCTAACAGTGCCATTAGGAAGACGCAAAAATAAAGAACAGAAGCTGGACTTTTGATTTCTCTCAAAACTGGCGGTTGAGAAGCTACCTGTTAGAAAAATAACTCCCCTATGGGGAGTGTACAGGATAATAGAGCCACTCTTTGACTTACAACCATTTCTCAGTCACTCTCAAAAGTTATGACAGTGCTGAAAACTGTTACTTGTGACTGGTCCTTGCCCTTATGACCATTAAAACATCCCCATGGTCATGGAGTCAGAATTGAGGCACTTGGCAACTGCCTTGCATTTACGGTAGTGTCACAGGGTCAGAGTATCACCATTTGCGATATTCCCAGCTGACTTCCAACCAACCCAGCCAAACAGTGAATCCAGATTCACTTAATGACCACGTTCTTCTTTTTCATTGTCACGGCGATTTGCTTAGTCAAGGCAAAATCGGGCATTTTTCATTTCATTACTGCCTTGTTTAACAGCGGCAGTTCTTCTCCCAAATATGGTTGTAAGTCGAGGACAAAACTGTATATTTTTAAGTCATATGAGCCCAGGGCCAAGAGCAGATTTCTGGACTTTGGAACCGGTTTTTAAGTAAGGCTGGTTTATCAAATGGCCGTTACGTGACTGGTCATAAGTTGAGGGCTACCTGCATGTGGCTGTATAATAGTAGAATCTTGCAAGTCTGCTTCTTTGGGATTTCCTGTCCTTTTTACAGCCCAGTGAATCCCCCTCCAGGATAAATTATTGCTCCTTTAATAGATATTATAGATATCAACTAATCATGGAAACTAATGAAGGAGAGAAGCAACTTAGAGCTAAGAAGAAATTTCCTGACAGTGAGAACAATTAACCAGTGGAACGAATTGTCTCCAGAAGTTGTGAATGCCCCAACACTGGGAGTTTTTAAGAAGAGATTGGACAGCCATTAGGTGGTACCTTGCTCAACAGTAGTAACTGTGAAAGGGATCTTGGAGTCCTAGTGGACAACCATTGAAATAGGAGCCAGCCATGTGCAGCAGCTGCCAAAAAAGCCAACACAGTTGTACGCTGCATNTTTCAGCTCAGACTACCTCAAAAGGTTGTTGTTATTGCAAAGGAAATGGGAAAAATGTACATTGCATTGAGCCTGGGAAGCTCTGCAAAGAATGCAGGACAGATCCAGTTTGGTTACTGGATAGTAATGAGGTAGTCCTCGACTTACAACCATTCATTTGGTGACTGTTCATAGTTACATTGGCACTCGGGAAAAAATACGCATGACCATTGCATCATCCCCACGGTCATGTGATCAAAATCCAACCACTTGGCAACTGACTTGCCTTTATGACAATTTCAGCATCCCAGAATCACACGATCCCCTTTGGTGACCGTCTGACAAGCAAAGTCACTGGGGAAGCCAAAACTTAACAACCATGTTACTAACTTTAACAACTGCAGTATTTCACTTAACAACTGTGGTAAGAAAGGTCGTAAAATGAGGCAAAACTCAATTAACAACTATCATGCTTAACAATGAAAATTTTCCTTCTAAGTTGTGGTAATAAATCAAGGACCACTTAGTCCCTCCTGGACCATGAATTTTCACAGGCTGAATTGTATCCCTTCTCTTCCAAACCGGCTTCCCTTGCAGCGTTGTGTGGGAGAGAAATACATTTTGTATTGTTTATAGATTTGCATGTATGTGCTAGTCGTTCCCAACTCTAGGGGGCGGTGCTAATCCCCGTTTCAAAGCCGAAGAGCCATCGCTGTGCAAAGACGTCTCCGTGGTCATGTGGCCGCCATGACTAAACGCCGAAGGCGCACGGAACGCTGTTACCTTCCCACCAAAGGTGGTTCCTATTTTTCCACTTGCATTTTTTACGTGCTTTCCAACTGCTAGATTGGCAGAAGCTGGGACAAGTAATGGGAGCTCACTCCGCTACGCGGCGCTAGGGATTCGAACCACCAAACTGCCGACCTTCCTGATTGACAAACTCAGCGTCTTAGCCACTGAGCCACCACGTCCCCTTCATAGATATAAGAACGTATCAAATTCTAACATATTACTTGGAACATTTGATGTTGGTTCACCAGGCCTGGACCATAAATACATTTAGAAGCTGTCTTAGACGCTTTTTCTAAATAGACACTTACTGTGCCATCTATAGAATTTCCTTCCCTTTTGATGTAGAAACCTGGCCTGTAATTGTATAGTCCCTGGTGATGGAAAACAGCTCTACACACTACTTTAAGTTTTTGGTGTTTTTTCCCCCTCCTTCCAGGGTTGAAATTGCTTCCAGCAGAAAAGTTTTCTTAGCTCCCCCCTCCTGCCCTATATCAAGTGCAGTTACAGTGCAGAATAACTTAAAAATAACAGAAAATGGAGTTGTTGGAAGGGACCTCGGAGTTCTTCTTGTCTAACCCCCTGCTCAAGTCGGAAACTGTAGACCAGTCTCTTCTTGAAAACCTCCAGTGTTGGAGCACCCACAACCTCTGGAGGCAAGCTGTTCCACTGGTTAATTGTTCCCACTGTAGATATAAAACTTACTTCACATCATGGTCTCCAAGCAGTTTCAGTTTGATCTGTACCAAACGGATAACTCTGAAGGTTAATTTGATGAGGAGTGGAGTTTCATGAAAACATACAGATATTTGAAGGGAAGAGATAGTGGGATTGGTGAAGAAAAACCCACTTTCTTTCTGATAAAGCTTCCAAACGTCTACCTTAAATCTAAATCCGATCACGGCTTAGGCAGGACTGTTAAAGCTATTTCAGCTCCCTGGAGACTACTCACCCAAAAGGAATGTCAGATACAAATAAAATACATCCCAAGCCTAGATCTGCTTGTCACCAAGTTGGCCTTGAAAAGAGAAAAAAAAGCTACTGAAGGAATCTGTGATAAAACTCAAAAAGTTTAAATGGAGTGAGCCAAATTCCTGGGTGAACTTCAGGGCTGGGGTTTCTATGGCAGCCTCTCAGGATCTGAAGCTGATAGGAGCCGCTTTTCAAGTGAGTGGAAGTTCCCACTTCTTTTGCTGGCATTTAACAGGAAAAAAAATCATATATATTTCTGCTGTGTTTTCCTGTTTCCCAGATTGTGCAAACCTGTCCTTTGTGGGATCAGCTTCCTAACAACCATTTATCCGGAGAGAGAGAGAGAAAAAAAATTGATCACAACCCCTAAAACGCACAATCAGAGAGGGCTGCTATCTCTCTTACGGCTGCAAAGAGTAACCACTCTCTCTTTGGTTATTACACCTCTGGTTTCTTTAAAAAATATATATTTAAAGGTCAGGAAATCCCCCCCCCCTTTCTTTATGGTCTTTGCAAGGGAGTCTAAAGTGCTTGCCAACATTCCCAGAAAACTCAACTAGGGCAGTTCTGGTTAAGAAAGTCAAAAAAGGGCTTTAATTGTAGTCAGTTTCTTTCTTTGCATATATGCAAGATGAGGAAAAGGTGTTAAAAGCCTGAACATGAGCCACGATGGTGGCTGGTTAATCAGGAATTATTTTAAAAAAAGGAGAACGGTGCGGCTGCCGCAAAGATCTGAGTCTGCACAGGGAGAAGTGAAGGAGTAAAAGTTTTGTGGGTGGGAGAAGCTAGGGGAAGAGGGAGGGAAAAAAAACTGGCGAGCAACGGATGGTGCTTTGCATCAGTTTAACAGTGAGCAATAAGCTTGAGGTTCTTTCCTCTCATTGTACAACACCCTTCCCTCCTCCTGGCCACCCAGAACCCTATAAATAATTCGTCTTCTCCTGTCTTTCTCACTACCCAGTTTTTAAGGCAGCAGGAAGCCAGCTGAGGAGGCTACAAGAGGACCTGAAGAGAAGGGGAGAAAGGAAAGGAGAAAAGGGCAAAGAGGAGAAAGAAGAAGAAGGAGAAAGAGAAGAAGAAGGAAGAACACCATGGCTAGTGAATTAAAGAAGAAAGCGTTCTGGAGAGCTGTCGTGGCCGAATTTTTGGCCATGAGCCTCTTCATCTTCATCAGCATCGGCTCAGCTCTGGGTTTCCAATTCCCCGTGATGGCCAACAAGACCATCACGCCCATTCAAGACAACGTGAAGGTCTCCTTGGCTTTTGGCATCTCCATTGCCACCATGGCCCAAAGCGTGGGCCACATTAGCGGAGCTCACTTGAACCCGGCCGTGACCTTGGGTCTCCTGCTCAGCTGCCAAATCAGCATTCTCCGGGCAGTCATGTACATCGTGGCGCAGTGCTTGGGCGCTGTGGTGGGCACTGCCATCCTTTCTGGCATCACATCCAATCTGGAAGGCAACTTGTTGGGACTCAACCAGGTAAGTGGGCTGGGAAGCTCTTCTTCTGTGCAGTTTCTGCCCTGGGGTGGCGGATGGGTTGATTTTTAAAGATTCTAGTCCTCATGAGTGATGGAAGCATAAATTGGCACCCGCTGCTCCAAATGAATTGAGGATGTTGGTAAAGTTCTTTGACCAGCCAGAGATTAATTTCATGGAAACCAAGAGAGCAGATTCTTCTTTTGAGGAGTTTTTCAGGAACTTTTTCCCCTCAAGAGCTGTTCATAAGATTTTGCCTCCAGCCAAAGTTGGTGCTTTTTAACAGCTGGGTGTGAAGCAAAGGACAGCTAGTGTAGCTAGAGATAAGAATAGGGCAGAGCATTGGGCTGTTAATGGGGACATAAAGGCACATTTGGTCTTGTGGCGGGAGATAAGCTGCAAAGGATGAGCATTTATCCCTTGACGAGGCAAATTTTAAATATTGGGGCTCCAGGTTTCCAATTGCCCCGTGTTGGGATGAGTTGTTCATCTGGTGATAGCCGAGGAGTTTCATTGTGGAAAGGACGTTGGCAACCTGCATTGCTCGTGCAGCCAGGAAGCCAAATGCTTTGCCGAAGACTGTGGCGGAATTTGAAGTGTTTGGAAGTACACTGTTCCCAAACCCAGAATTTACTAGCATGAAACCGGTAGCTGTCAAAGCATGAAAATTGAGAGGTAAGTCTGGTGGCTTAGCTGGTAGCAGAGAGGCAACAGGCAGGAATTTAAGAAGTGGAATCCTTTCCCCCTGCCCTCTATCGTTTTTCCTCTTCCCCTTCTCTCCCTCCTTCCCTTCACCCAGCCATCCCTACCTTCCTCCTCTCTCCCAGTTCTTCCTTCTTTTTTTCTTCCTTTGTCTTCCTCCTCCTCCTTTCTTTCTTTTCCTCCTCTTCCACTTTTTCCTCCCCCTCCTTCTCCCTCTCCCTCTCCCCCTCCCCTCCAGCTCCCTCCTCCTGGTCCTGTTCCTGCTCCTCCTGCTCCTCCTCCTCTTGTGTGTGTGAGTTACCCTGTTTTTCTTAAAACAACAGAGAAATTAAAACTGGGAGTGGCCCATTCAAACACAAGCAAGTGTCTCCATCAAATACAGAAACAGGTCAAACCATTAGGCTGTACCTATAGACACACTTTTATCTTCTCTAGCAGACTACTCCATTGGAGAGATTCAAAGATATCCAATCAGCAGCCTGGGCTCATAGATGGCCTCTTATCTTCTCTAGCAGACCACTTTGGAGATATTCACAGTTACCAAGGCAAATAGAGACTCCAGTCTAGGGCAGTCCCACTCCAGAACTGTGTCTTTAAGCAGTGCACAAAAGAGACAGTGGGCGCAGCAGCCAGTCGGTTTTCATGCTTTGATCGCAGCTTCCTTTAATGGGAATAACCAAAAAAGGGCGAGCATTTGGTCACCTTCCACCCTTGGAAGGCACACCCTTTGAACACCCAGACATAATCTATGTCCCTTGGCACACGCCTCCGTGCAGCTGCGAGTTGTAGCAGTCAATGGGTCAACTTCCTGGCCCACTTTACAGAATTCAAGGGGGTGCTTGGTTCTTTTTGACCAAGTTCCCTGACCTTTCCAGCTGTGCAGCCGAATGGGGAAAAGGGGAGGGGGGATGGTTCCACGTGAATGGCGAGAAAGCGTGTGCATGCAGCTCCGTTTGCATGAGCAGCAGGCCCATCGCACAAGTGGAGCTGCACGCACACACACACACACACACTTGGCTGCTGCTTGCACAAGTGGGGATGCACATGCATGCATTTGCCCGCCACTTCTGCGGCCCAGTTCCAAACGATTCAAGGCCTGGTAGTGGGACGCAGCTTGGGAATTGGGGATCCCACGTGAAGCTCCATCTGACAACAGCTCAAAATTTCTCTTTGCTTCGATCTGAAATTTTCCAAACGTTTAAAACAATCAATCAATCAGAATAGAGCTGGAAGGGGCCTTGGAGGTCTTCTAGTCCAACCCCCTAGTCAAGCAGGAGATACTCTGTCACTCAATCAATCAGAATAGAGCTGGAAGTCTCTGTCACTCAATCAATCTGTCACTCAATCAATCAGAATAGAGCTGGAAGGGGCCTTGGAGGTCTTCTAGTCCAACCCCCTGCTCAAGCAGGAGACCACGTCAGACAAATGACTGTCCAGTCTCTTTTTAAAGACCTCCAGTGATGAAGCACCCACAACTTCTGGTGGCAAGCAGTTCCACTGGTGAATTGTCCTCTCTGTTAGGAAGTTTCTCCTTAATTCCAAGTTGCTTCTCTCCTTGATTACTTTCCATCTGTTCCTTCTTCTCCTGCCTTCTGCTGCTTTGGAAAATAAGTTTAACCCCCACACTTCTTTGGACAGCCCCTGCACCATTGGAATACTTCTATAATTTCCCTGCTTGTCCTTCTTTTCTCTGGACTGGCCATTCCCAATTCCTGAAACTATTCTTCATATGTTTTTTTTTGTCTCCAAACCCTTAGCCATCCTTTTTGCTCTTCTTTGCAGTTTTTCCAAAGCCCTGACATCTTTTTTGTCGTTTTTTTTTTTAATTTAAGCAATGCGTCGCTTCTTATTTATCTGCCTCCCTTTAAAACCAGGCTGATCGAATATTGGGGGAGAAGGGGGGGTCCCGATATGCTGCACACAGAAGCATGGCAAGAGATCCACAGGATAAGATTAAAAAAAGGCAAAAATGGTGGCTCAGGTGCTCCAGTCAAAGCCTCATCTTGACTTTTTGACCATATTTTGAAAACTCCCTACACGATGAGATCCAGTTTGCCTGTCCACATTCACATGGACAAAAAAAAAAGAAAAAAAATCCATGTTCAAAAAATCCATGTTCACATGGAACAAAAATCTTCTCCAGTGGCTAAAATAAAGGGGGTTTCCTCAAAATTATACCAACACTTTTCCCCCCCATGCATATTTAGTGACAGTTTTTAGGGGCCATCAAGTAGAAGGAAGGCCATGGAATTGCGCGACAGCTGTCCAGATGAAGTCGGAGACACTGACATAAATTTGAGGTCTTTTATGTAAATATAAATGTGTTTAATGTTCAAATTTTCAGCAGTTTTTGTCATCCAGAAAAGGAAGAACATATAGTCAAGTACACAAGAACTTCATGAGGTAAAATTAGCGACATACAGAACACACAGAAGCAAAAAGGCGGGGGAAAAAGGAAACGCCCCCTTCATACCTGCAGCAGCCAATCATAGCGTAGATTGCCTCACGCAGGAGCCAGCACTCTCCAATCAATCAACTGCAACTGTCTGTTCTGGCCTACAACAATAATAAAAGAACAACAACAACAACAACAACAACAACAACAAAGAAGAGGAACAACAAGAACAACAACAGCAAATTGTTGTTGTTGTTGTTGTTCTGGTCTATTGTACACATTACTGTTCCAGCTACTAAATTAAATATTCTAACAAGGTTCTCCCACATTTACAAATACTAGTAGCGGGCGGCATTTTTCTTTTTCTACTTTCTTGCAAGAAGAAATTCACATAATCTTTCTTTACATCTCACACTGTGAAGAGTTTTTTCATTTTCTGCTTCTTCTTTAATGACTTTAAAAAGATGGGTGGATGGATGGATGGATGGATGGAAGAAAGGAAGGAAGAGATGTATGTATGGATGGATAATGGATGGAAGAACAGTGGATGGAAGAAAGGAAGGGATTGATGGAAGGATGGAATGATGGATGCATGGAAGAAAGAAAGAAAGAAAGGGATAGGTGGATGGATGAAAGGATGGATGGG